GTCTCTGTCCGCAGCAACACCTTACGAGTGACCCGCTCTGCAGCCCCCACCAGTCTGGATGGCTCAGCCACTGGGGGCCCTGCCCAGCTGGGGAAGAAGGGCAGGGACTTTGACTTCTCCCAGCTACCCATGAAGGTGGAATTTGTGGAGTGCAGTGCTCGGGGCAGCAAGGGAGAGGAGGGAGATGCTGACTTCGAGGGCCTTGAGAAATGGCTGGCCAAGATCGCCTGAATGGAAAAGGGCAGGGTGAGAGGGAGAGACTTGGGGAGGCTGGGGGGGCAGGACACTTGGAGACTGAAAAGAAAAAGATGGTCTGAAGCACTCAAACTCATCTTGCTGTAGAAGAAACTTCAGCTGGAAACCAGCATTGCAGTGTCTTCCTCTGCTGCTCATGAGCTTGGGAGCAACATGACAATTGCTGGTGTGATTTCCTCTGACTGTCTCTTCACACTGCAACATTTTTTTCCTCACCCCCTCTTCCTTTGTCTTCCTCTGGGATGCTGACCCTTTGGATTTCTGTGTTTTCTTAATCTTTAGGCTTTTCATTTGGTAGTTGCCAAGCAGATTAGGAAGGAGTGAACTGCCAGGTGAGTTTTAGAAAATGGAGTCTGCGTGTTGTCTTCTACCTTGGTTTAGCCTTGCCACCCTGTTACCTCTTGGAGCTACTGATCAACTCCTAATTCTGACTTCTTTCCCCAGCATCTCACTGCTTGGGAGCGCTGTGCACATCATCTGTGCTGCCCCAGCAAAGCGCACAGACTGTGTCTGTTGGGCAATCATTGAGGAGAGTATAAAAAGCTGTTTACCACTGAGTCCCCTACCTTCCCATTCTTCCAGACTGGTGCAGTCCCATTTCCATGGGACTGGAATGGTCTGTTAAATGCCAAAACCAGGCTGGCTGATCTACCTTTGTCACTGTGCACTGCCTGCGTCCTTTGCTGTGTCTTTGGGTTATTTCCACTGTTGGACAGTTCTTGGGAGCTTTTCCTTTAATGCAGGGCTATGTCCTGAAAGCTTGTTTCACTCTGCTTCTCCTTCCTATACTTCAGGCTCTTCTCCCACAGACAAGTATGCACATTCTCCAAGTGGCAGAGTTATAGTAGGGTCTTAGCTTGAAACTATGAGGCAGGCACGTTTTTAGATTCATACCTACATTATGCGTGAGATCTGGCATGACAGGCATTTGCTGTGCAGTCCCCTGCCTGTCTCCTGTGTGATCTCAACTGTTAATCTTGAAAGGAAGATTCAGGGAATGCCTGTTGCTGTAGGTGTCGCAGTGGCTTAGCAGGCTGCTGGAGGCTTGGAGTGTTGGAGGGCTCTGATTCAGCATGCTTCTGAACTTTAAAAGGACATTGCTCTTCTCCTGTCCATGCTCTGGCCAGGAGCATCGGTTATCCAAAGGGAGATCTTCCAGCAGCATTGGTGTTGGTCAAGTGGGAGACAAGACTCTGGTGCTGTGCTGGGCATTCAGATTCTCCTTCCTGAACAGCCTTAAAACACAGTTGCCCTGCCCGGTAACTTTGTATAGCTTCGTGTTCTGATGGGGTGCTGTTTCTGTGCAGCACTTAAGTGAGGATGGTTGCTCTCCAGGATGCTACACTGCAAATTGCGAGGTCCTACGGCACTGAAATTTTTCCTTTGTTTTTGTTGTTTCCCCTTTTGGTTTGGGGTAGGAGGAAGTGGCTGGCTCCTGGTAGACCTTTTCTGTCCTTTGCAGGCTCCCCTCTTCTCTGGTTTGATGTTTCCTTGATCACTCAACTGATCTGTTGTGTTCTTTTTCTTTTTGTCTGGGGCATCCTCTGCCTCCCTGCAGCATTGCCAAGTGTTAGTAGCATTGGGAAGAGCAGGAACAGTCTTCTGCAAAGACCTGGCTTGTGATGGAGCTGGGCCTTGCATTTCTAGTCTTGTGAACCCAGTGGCTCTTCTACTATCTGTGCAGGAGGGTTATATTTAGGAAGTACATTATATTCTTATATTTTGTGCAGCCAGAGTATTGTTGGAACATGTTTGTCATGCTTTGAACTCCCTTAGCTGGAGCTCCTTCCCAGGCCGCCTGCTTTGAATCCATGATGCTGAAGTGAGAGTATTGCTATTTCTTTGGGTGGTTATTCTGCTTGCAAAGACCTGTCTCCTTGAAAAGCAAAGCCCAGGCACCAGCCTTTGCTGGGGTAAGGTAGCATGAGGCCATAGTTGGTTTTAAGTTATTCCTTAAATAAAAATTTTGTGCTTAAATGTTTGTACTCAAGTCTTGGTTTAGTCTGTATGTATTGGCCTCGTCTCAGTGGTGTCAAATTCACATGGACTGGGGCTTTGCTTCTGCTCAGCATGATGCTGGAGATCAACCTTCCTGCTTGGTGGCCAAGTCTGTGTTGTTAAAAACCAATGCCTCTTCCACACACAGGGCTTTTGGTTTTCTTTTTTTTTTTTTTTTGGTTGCGTATTTACTCCTTAGCCTCAGCGTTAGAGGCTTGATAATCACATAGCAAAAAACCCCAAAACACCAACCAAAAAACTTAACAAAAAAGGCACTTCGCTCAGCTGCACAGGAAGACTCAAGCCAGTTGCAGTGCACTGTGCACAGCTGTTTAAGTAACAGAGCACTTGCCCTGCGCTGTGGTCAAGGTGGCTACGGCACCCTGCAGCTTTACAGCTGGATGGAGAAAAGGCATTTTTCCCTGTCTAAGTGTGGCTGCCAGCTTGGCTGTGGCTATACAGTGGCGTGGCTGAGCTGGGGCTGCACCCAGTGCCACTTGTGCTGGAGGATGGAGCATGCATTGGGCTGTTGAAGAGCTGCATGTGTTTTCTGGGCTGCGCTCCATGACTTGCCTGTTAAATATTTGGGACTGTTTTTCCCCAGTGGCCGAGGGAAAAGGGCAGAACTGGAAACTCTGAATGTTTTGTTTTGTTTTTTTCCCAGTCAGCTTTGTGCTTTGTTTTTTGCTCTTATGTATAAACCTTGCTCCCAGCCTGTGGCTTTGTGCTGGCTGGGCAAGTTGGTCCTCAGGCTGCAGCTTGGCAGCCAGTGTGTTTAGATGGCTTTGGCAAGACAGCAGGATGTGATAAACTCAGTCCCTTCTGCTCCAGCTGCCTGACCCAGGGTCAGGTACCCTGCTGCATTTACATCTCTGCAGGGATTGAGGCTTTGACTGTACTTTAAAGCTCTTTTGGTCAATGTTTCTCGCTATAGGTTGTGCTTTGCCTACAGATTGTTCCCCTGAAAAGGAAGGGTACTTTCAGAGGAGATCAACAAGCACAGTGAGATCCAGGATAGCAGGAACCACATGAAAGTGGAGGAGAGATTGCTGAAAGGCAAAGAAAAGCAAAAATAGCATGATGCCTGAACATTGGCATCCCAGTGGTGGTGGTTTCCAAGTGTTGCAACTGTGCATAGAGCCATTGGCCAGCCCCAGCCACCCTGACACCTTTGGGGCCATGTTGGCCCATTTGGGCTTCTGTGTTGGCCCCATTTGGGTCACCTCGTACACTTTCACTGGCCAGCACCTCCTGGGGCTTGTCCAGTGATGTTACCCTTGATGGGATGAAGGTGGAGAAAGGAGTTAAGGAAGGTCATGCAGGTGTTAAGGGAAAACCTGCGAGGTGGAGGGGGAATAGGAATAGCATGGGCAGATCTCATTTTTGTAAAGACTTGCTGATCCAGAACAAGTCCAAGGCAGCTTCCCTCCTGTCCTCTTTCCTCCTGTCCTTTCCCTTTACTCCCTCCATGAGCCAGGCTCTTGATAAGCTCATGAAACAATTCCTGTGATACAGGTCAAATGGTGCTCCCATCTGACCCTCTACAAGTGACAGCAGGCAGTCATCGTCAATGAGTGCATCCCCAGATCACACCAGGTGACACTTCTTTTCCCATTCTGGCAGGCTGCCTTCATCTTGCCAGGAAAGGAGAGGTCTGGGGTAGTGCTGCAGAGCAGGGGAAGCTCTGCCAGAGTGGGGCAGGGAGGCTCTGGAGCTGCTGTGCTCCCTTCAGGTAGTATGCCACAGGCAGGGATACATCCTGCACAACCCTGCCTACAGCCCCTATCTGCAGTCCTTGGCAACCTGCCTGCAGTCCTCTGCCTGCATATCCATGCCCAGAACCCACTGTACCCTACCTGCAGCCCCATGCCTGTAGCACCTTGCCTGCAGCTCCCTGGGCTATGCCTGCAGGCCCCCTGCCCACAGCTCTATGCCTGCACCCACCTGCACTGTGCCTACAGTCCACTGCACCCTGTCTGCAATGCACTGCCTGCAGCCCCCTGCACCCAGCCTGCAACCCTCTGCCTGCAGCCCCACACCTGGAACCCCCTGCACTATGACAGCAACACCAGGCCAGCAGACCCCTGCCTGCAGCACCCTGCTCACAGCCCCATGCACCTGGTACGCTGCCTAGAGCTCCATACCCAAGCCCCCTGCACTCTGCCTGCAGCCCCATGCCTGATGCCCACTCTACACTACCAGCAGCCCCCTACCATCAGCCCCATGTCTGTAGTGCCTCTGTCTGCAGCCCCGTGAATCCTCCCTGCAGGTGCCTGCCCACAGACCCTTCCCACTGTCCCATGAACCCTGCCTGTATCGCCATATGTGCCACTCCATGCCTGAAGCTTACAGCCCTTGCCTGCAGAGCCCCACAACCTCTCTGCAACCCCCTGCCCTCTGCCTGCATCCCCAAGCACCCTGACTACAGCCTTTTCCTTGCAACCCCCATGTCCAAAGCCCGGTGCCTGCAGC